CCCCCCCCCCCGACCATGGGCAGCCAGAGCTCGAAAGCGCCCCGGGGCGACGTGAGCGCCGACGAGGCGGCCCCCGCCAAGGCCAACGGACAGGTGGGTGCGCTCTTTGGACCGGGCCGGGGCCGGGATGGCGCGGGCCGGACCGCCCTCCTCCCCGCGGTCCTCCTCGTCCTCCTCCCTCGGGCCGCGGGCTTTGTGCCCGTTCGCCCGCCCGCCCGGGACACGCGGCGCCCCCTCCCCCTCCCCCCGCGCCTTTTGTTCTCTGCTCCGCTGCTGCTCCCGGCGGGCGGAGGGAGAGCGGAGCGAGGGAGCGCGGGAGGGAGGGGGCGCGGCCGGCCGAGACCTGGGCCCGGCCCCCGGCCCGTCGCCTTTGTTCCGAGCCGCGGCCCGGGCGCCCAGAGCACAAAGGCGGAGCCCGGGGCGCCGAGCGGGGGTGGGGCGGGCGCTCGGGCCGGCCCGAGGAGCCGGGAGGGGGGGCGCGGAGGAGGAGGAGGAGGGCGCGGGCGGGGCGGGGAGGGGGGATGACTTGGGGGAGAGCCTGGCGAGGGGCGGGGGCCCGGGGCCCGTAGACGGCGCGGAGACAAAAGCCAGCCAGCCAGCCGGGTGGGGGGGCGGGCCGCGGCGATGCCCGCAGGGATGCGCCCGGGCCCGGCCGGCCGCGTTCTCGGGACCCTCAGGCCGGCCCCGCCCGACCGCCCCGCGCGCCCCCTGGCGGCCCGGGGCCTGGGGGGGTTGGGGGGGAATGCCCCGCAGCTCCCCCCGCAGGCGGCTCACGGCGCTGCCCTGTGCTCTGCCCGTCCGCAGGAGAACGGCCATGTGAAGAGCAACGGAGACGTGCCCCCCAAGGCCGAGGCCGAGGCCGCCCCCCCGGGCCCTGCCGAGCCGGCCGACGCCGCCCGGGGCAGCGGCGACGCCATCGAGCCCACGAGCCCCGCGGCACAGAGCCCGGGCGGTGAGGCCAAGGCCGAGGGGCCGCCCAAGGAGACGCCCAAGAAGAAGAAGAAATTCTCCTTCAAGAAGCCCTTTAAGCTGAGCGGCCTGTCCTTCAAGCGGAACCGGAAGGAGGCGGGGGGCGACTCGGCAGGCTCCTCGCCCACCGAGGAAGGGGCGCCCGAGGCCGAGGCGACGGGCAGCCAGGGGCCTCTGCAGGGGGGCGAGGAAGAGGCAGCCGCCGATGGCACGGCCGCCCCGGCCCAGGGGGCTCAGGCCGACGACAGAAAGTTGGAGGAGCCGGCCCCCCAGGCCGCCGAGGGGGCCCCGGCCCCCGAGCAGAGCCCCACGCCAGCCCCGGACGGCGAGCAGAAGGAGTAGCCCCCGGGCGGGGAGGGGCAGGTGGGCATCTCCCGAGTTCAAAGACTGTGCTTCCCCCACCCCGGGCTGGGTCAATGCCCTCCTCCCGTGCCCAGCTTAGAACAGGCAGCTGAGACCTCCAGGCAGAGCTGTTCTCCCCCCACCTCGGACCCCTGTGGACTGTCTCTCCTCCCCTCTGCCCTCCTCCCCTAGCGAGCCCCCTTCATCCCGCCTGCTCTGCAGTTCCCTGTTAGGTTAGTGGAGTGAGATGCTCAGCCCAGCCCCAGCTCCAGGCCCTGCTCCTACCCCTTTCACTGGTGAGCCCTAATCTTTCTTCCCCGGTAGGTTTGCTCTTGCTCTCCTCAGTCGCTGAGGCTGAAGTGGGCTGCCTCTGGGCTGGGGCTCATTCAGAGGATTTTGTGCCGGCGGCCCCTGCTGGCCCCACCGGCTTGGGAGGGAGCTAACCTGGTTGGGTTTTTATAAATGTCTTGATCAGTTTCAAACTCCAGCTTTGTGCGCCTGCTGTGTGTTCCTTTTGACTTTGTAGGGGAGCTGAAGGGTTCTGGGGGGAGGGGGAATCTGTATAATGTGAAGCAACTTGTTTGTCTCGTTTTTCTTCATTTGTAAATAATTTTTAATGGCCAAAACTAAACTTGTGACTTTTTCTAACTGCTAAAACCAACCTCCCATCTGGGTTTTAACTGTAACATTTGGAAAAGGAATAAATGTCAGGCCCTGTTGTGATGACCTAATGAGTGTGTATTTGGATGGGGTACTTGGTGTAGGTACTTTTAAGCAGGAAGGCCTGGTACTGACTAGATCTTAGTGGTTCTTTACAATCTCCCTGGACCTGGTGGCCATCTGCCCCATAACCAAACCTTTGGAAGTATTTTGCTGGAAGGTTACCGAGATTGCTCATGACTCATTCCCCTTGGGGCTTAGTCTCAGGTAGGGTAGGCCTTAATTTCTCTCTAAATCTCAAGCAGTCCTCATAAAATGCTATCCCTCACTCAGAAAAGGGAGGTCTTGTCTCCACAATCCTAATTACTTGACAGCAAGAAAAGCCAAGCTAATTCACAAAGATAGAAAAATGTACCAGTTTTATTACAAAGGTTCTTCAAAAAACAAAAAATAATTTCAAAATGGAAACCACACCAGAGATCCCAACCCAGACTACTCTCACACAAACCCAGTCAACATTGGTGGGTTCCTAGCCAGGGAAAAAGGGGGACTATTTGAAAGGGCAGCCAAGAGCCCTTAGCCTAGAGTCTGCAGAGGTATGGGAGCACAAGGTGCCCCCGTCAAACAAAATAGGTGAACCAGCCAGAAGGCACAGCCCTGTCACATGCCCATAGACTGTGGGAACCAGGCATAGCACCTATGAGCAGCTGCTAACTTACTTCACTTCAGGACAGGGAAAGTGGTTGGCTAAGTACCTGGACCTACACAGGAACCACCAGAGGAAGCTGGACAGACACACATCACCTGTCATCCTTGCAAAAACTTCACTAAGTTTCAAATTCAATTTAAAGGAATAAAAAAGGCCCACAGAGGGAGAAAAGGGGGCTGCGGAGACGACCCAACCCAGCCACCCAGGGCAATGTGTCCTATGCCATTTAAAAATAACCCACCCAGAAAAATGCTCCAGGCCCTAAACAGCAGGTCAGGCAAGGGGTTGTGTTTAAAACGATACAGGGAGGAAAGAAATGGATTCACCTGCCTGGGACTCAGGTGTACAAGGCAACAAAGGCATTGGATCGGGCAGCCTGTTAACAGCAAAACCCCTAGTTCCTGTGTTCTGGGGACAGTTCTATCTCATATAATTATATATAAATAGAGAGACATAGAAAATATAAACTCTGAGGATGTAGGGGTAAGGAATCTGAAAGGAGGTATGGGCAGCAGGCCCCAAGGAGAGCTGGAGAGCTCAGGCAGACTTGGTCTCCTCCTTCACCCTGTGGAGTAGGAACAGGACCGAGGTTAGAAAGACATTATTGGTCTACTTCATACTAAGCCCACAGGATCCCCACCCAGGTGGCACAGGGGGGTAGATGGTGGCAGACATGAGACAGTTCTTGCTTTAGGACCATTCCAAAGACCTCTACTAAAAGAGTAATGCAAATCTGCCCCTACTCACCCACTTTACTTAGCCTATATAACAATGGCATACACAAAATACCTTTATACAAGTCATAAAATGTACTAAATAAAACGCAGATACATTAAATACAGCACCATGATAAACAGAATTGTCAGGTTAATCCAGGTGTGCAATACATTACCCCTTCTGCACCCACTGTACCTAGCCTTTTATCACTAGTGGCTATGCGGTTTTGTTTTTTTTTTAATGAAGCTATCCAAATGTTTGGACAGAGTCTCTTTTCCCCTTACATATCTGAGGATAGCAAGATATATATTAACATCAACTAGTTTTTGAGCTTTTAAAAATCTTAAAGTATTTGGATCCATCTTTTCAATACAAGAAAAAAATTCACTCAAATGATGAAAGGCTTCCACCGGCCCTTTCTGGTTTGCCCTCTGGCTCCAAAGCTTCCCTTTCCTCTGCGGTCTTTGCAGCGAGCAGCTCTATCAGATCCATCGACAGTTCTCCCTGAGACTCTATCAACTCCTCCACATCATTCTCCTTCACTTCTGGCTCCGATTCTTGTGCTAATTTTACAACCTTGTTACTCACTTCTTCAAACATTTCATCCATGTCAAATTCACTAGAAAACTGGGAAAGGAACTGCAGGCACACTTTTTTCCCCAACTGTCTTCATACATGCTTCTATTACATCTTCCCATGCCTTAGCAATATCCCAGATTGCACGCTAAATATTATAGAACTTCCAGAAATCTACGTCAAGTCCTTATCTGCATCCAAAGCTACAAGTGCTCGAACAAATGTAGTGCATAAATGCCTTGAAATTACCAATCACTCCTTTGTCCAAAGGTTGTTATAATGAGGTAGCTTAGAAGACGTTTTCGATAAAATCATCCAAGACAGGAAGAATAACATGAAAGGAGAATCTTGAAAGGAATACCATTATCATCACAAAACTTAACTTCAAAACAGCGCATACACCACTGTTCAAAGATGATAAAGGTTATCTATGCCTTTGGCTTAGTGAAATAATACAAGTGTTGCCTTGCTGATTCCTTTCAATACTCACAGAGGTGGGGATCAGTCTTAAAGCCACATGTGACCTTCTAGGTCCTTAAGTGCTGCCTTTTGACTGAATCCTAATTTTACAAAACAAATCCTTGCTTGGAGAGTGGATTCAGTCAAAAGGTGGCACTTAAGGACCTAGAAGGCCACATGTGGTCTTAAGGCCAAAGGTTCCTCAGCCTGCTCTGGGATTTTCTGAGTGGTGCAAGAACAGGTTTTAATTTGCAATCCTAGATGCATTCCCTCACTATCTTTCCAAGCTTTATGTTCTGGCATAGTTTTTTTCCTCCAGAGATGCAGGTGGCATTCTTTGATAAAATAGACCGGTTTCATCTACATTAAAGATCTGCTCCTGCAAGTAGGGACCTTCATCTATTACTCTGAGAACCTCTTTGCTGCTTGAATATCTACACTGGCAGCCTCTCTTGATACTTGTACATACATTATGAAATCCTATGACTTTTTAAATTGTGCAAACCAACCACTGCTTGCCATAAATACCTGTTTCTTCACGGTACTTTACCTTTAAATCTTCAAAGAGGCTTTGAGCCTTGGTTGGAATTGTCATCAACCTTAAAGGAATATTCGTCCGAGTCTGGTGGTCTATCCACATCTCCAGAAGAGCACCTTCAATTGCTGACCATGCAAGCACTGTCTCATCCTTCACTATGGTGTTCACAGTTGACACCACAAAACTAAGTTCACATGCCATTGATGACAATTTCTGGCCTCCTTCATATTTTCTAATTATTTTTCTTTTCATTTCCGAGTCCTAAGCTTATGCTTAGGAGATGGTCTGCTGTTCCCCTCAAGAACAGTTTGCCACCAGCCATGGTGACAATAGAAGGCTCACTACTGAACAGAGAGGCAGTTACTACTCAATATCTGCAGACAGGTGGGAACTGACTTAGAGCCGCTTCTAGGCTTCCCACCATAGTTCACACTGCCTGCATCCTACAGCATCTTAAAGTACAGCATCTGCTTTGCCTAAGGCATTTTTGTAACTTTTCTGGGGGGGAGAATGCAGATTTCTTTCCGAAATCTTTATGTAAAATTGAACTGGCATAAAGCAAGAAACTGTCTGTAATCCATTAAAGGACCTTCTTGTCAATTATGATGAAGGTTCCCCTTCATTATGTGTCAAAGGTAGCCAGCTGGATAAAGGAAGGCCAGGACTTTTTTGGAAACAGGACCAATGCTGTCTCCAGCCCCCACCCCCCAGCTCAACTCTTCACTTACCCTTTGGCTTCAGGTTTCTCTTCCTTCGTCTTCTCCTCCTCTTTTGCCTCTGAAATAGATGATGTCAGGGACGACAAACTGAAATCTCACTATCCTATTTCCTCCAACTCGATACTCTCCTAGCCCACCCACTGTCACCTGCCCAGTACTAGACCTAGACCAGAGCAGGCCAAGATGTTAGGAGTTCCTGCATCTCCCAGGCAGAACTGTATCACCACTTCCCTGCTGGGCAAAGCCAGGGCAGCCCAAAGGACAGGTATTCCCCCAAGCTCCATAGGCTGCTGCCCGGTGTTGGAGGGACCAGACCCAAGGACAAACTGGTCTGACTAGTTTTCTGGGCGGCTAAGAGGAGCTGGCCCCCCTGGGAAGTGTGAGGTGGCAGGGAAAGGGCTTGGGTGGTATGGAAGAGTCACTATTGGCTATGGGGAGATGGGTCACATCAACAGGCTGGAGGGCCTGATGGGAGATGAGTCAGCCCAGCTGGATTACAAGTCAGCTCTTGTTCTTTTGTGCACCCTGACACTTCAGGGAACAGACAAGAGGCATGAGCAGCCCTGCAGAGGCCCTCAGGCACTGATGGGTTTGAGGCCTCCCTTCTGCCCTGAGCTCAGGCATTGGAAGTCTTGCCCAGGGACCTACCCACCTTTTTTCTCCTCTGGCTCTCGATCTTTCTCCTCTTCCATTTTGACCCTCTTGGCTTTCTTGAAGTTGGATGAGTTCTTTCGACCGCCCTCACCTTCCTCGTCTGAGTCTGAAAACTCCTCCTCACAAGCAATTCTCTTGTCTGAGGAGCATACTGAGGGGAGAAAGCAGAGGCCGAAGGCATGAAGTTTACGCAGCGCCTCTGGCCCAAGACAGCCTAACAAACATCTAATGCCCATCTCAATTCCTCTCCTCAACTGAAGGACTCCATGCTCGGATGAAGACTCCTGACAACCCCCAGAGGGGGGAGGTAAACGACTGCTCAACCTGTGGCTACACAAACTGGACAACAGGAGAGATCCCTGCATCCCACATAAGGCATCATTTCAGGCGAAAGGACATGTAAAAACAAGTTATCCACAAAATGGCATACAATGAGAACTGAAAGGAACTTTAGAAATTTTCCTTAAGAGAAGTAGTGACTTGCCCTTTGGATAACCTTGGTAAATAGGGTTGGGACTCAAACCCAGGCCCTTCTGCTTCCAAATCCAATGTACTTTCCACTGTGTCACCAGGTTCCTTCCCTACTCGTTCCAGACAGCATTCTCCTTCCTCCAGAAACCTACTTGAAATGCGCTTGTCAGGATCTTCCTCATCCTCATCCCCACTGTCCTCCTGTATCCCATCCTCAGGAATGGGCTG